TTACCTGTTTATACCACATGAGCGCGTTTTTTTATGGCAAGATGGCGCAAACGGAAGTCCTTCGCAGGTTTATGGTTTCTCATATTTAAATCATCATAACTCTGAAGGTAATCATTTTTTTAAATTTTTTTTTTTCAAATTTATAATCAATATACATAACTTGATAAATACAAACACCGACATAGGCTCTATTTAGTTCCCCTTTAAAAACCCACTCAGCTTGGATACAATCACACAAAATTGTGAACATACATGTACCAGGTATTAGCTGATTTTTGGCAACTTAAATAATGATAAAACACTGCAGTACAACTTTCCCCTCACTTTCCCCTTTACGTCAAGCCAGTCTGATGATTGGTTGAAACACGGATTTCAATTCCAGGGTCGCATGAGGCATCTAAGAATGCATCTTGTCTCACCATGATCTTAACATGATCATTGGTTGCATGAAGTAAAGGAATGGATAAAGGTGCATTATGCTGTTATATGACCAAGGTCACTAGAAATCTGTTGATACATGATTGTATTCAAGTTGAGGTGGTAGAATATCTATTATCTATCACATCTGGATTAGCCTGGAATCCAGCCATTCATAGCGCTCTTTTCACAATAATAGATTGCATCTAGTCTACATCTGCATCAACGTGTTGATATTATGATTTTGTAAAGTTAGGGTGATCACGCACCCAGCCAAAATATGGTGTGTCATTTTCTAAATTGTCCATTTTCAATGTACACAGTTTTAAAAGTCTTATTTTGCATGACAACAAAAAAGCTAAGAACAAACACACATGATATATATTAGGAAAATACATGTTCACCTACGACATTAGTGCGTGAGATTTGAAAGTTTACAATGAGAGAAATTTTTTCATTGATTTTCTATCGATGGCATATAATATTAATAATTTAAAATTATATTTAATATGAATTAGAGTGCCAGCGTAAAACTAACAATTAAGAATTTTGGTAACCGGTATTTTTCTACACCAGCATCTGTATTATTATCACAGTTACATTTTAACCTCACATTAAGCAGCAAGATGCGGACATGCTCGCAGTGTTTACATCTCCCATCAACACTATTTGAATATCCCCCACCGATTTCAATTTTAGCTTCACATAGCAACTAGTTTGTATTGATCACAAACTACAAATCTAACAGTCGCTCAGCAAAATCAAGCTGCAGGTGAACTGTCTTACCTTTTCTGAAGGCATGATGCCTATTTAGGAAACTGTTAATTCTCGTAATTTAACTAAACTCAATTAATTCATCCACAACATTGAGTATTTTGACAAGCACTGCGCCGCCATGTTGAAAATATTTGGATTTGTACGCATGCGTTGCAATATGCAAATTTTATCGTCTGCCTTCAGAGCAATTTCCTATTTTTAGAGCAATGCCCCTTTACTAACCTTTTGGCTAAAAATTAATACACGTTATCTCTTATCACTAAAAAAGCAGTCGGTCGTGAACCCTTACATGTGCATTAGAAAGATGTGTTGTGATTCACGTCGGTGAAATGTGCAATTTTGTATATTAATTATCCCGACAGTTACTGAACACAAAGAAAGTAGTTCACACGCGGAGTTGGATATTAGACACTTAACTCCAAAAGCAGCAGCCAGCTATTCGTCAACGACAGTCAGATTGTAAACATGGTACTGTGGTAACTTGTTCATGCTACACAGTTTTTAGTTTAGTCCGCCGAAAGAACGCAAACCATGGCAGATAAAGACGACAGCACACAGACTGCGAGTAAACCGAGCAAAAATGACGAGATGGTGGCGACTGCCAAGGGATATGCGATCATATTCGGTGGTCTATTCTTGATATACCTGCTCGGTAGCTGGGATTTCAGCATAACTTGGATTGTGATTGGTTTCGCTGTGTGGGTCTATAGAGACCAAACTGGTAAAACTAAAAAACAACAAATGAAAATACGCAGCGAAATCACCAATGATGAAAAAAAAGCCATCCAAGCTCATGTGAACGATCTGCCGTCATGGGTAAGTATTTATCAATAATCAGTTACTAAAATTGGTATGGCCTTTAAAGTGAAGCGTAAAAGTGGGATGGGCAACTTGCAGGTATTTTATTACCCCCCCCCCCCCAAGTACGAAAGTAAAAGTGTTTACGACCTATCTACTTTAAGGTTTAATTAAATATGATTTCATATCTTCTGTTTTGAAGTCTGAACTTATCCCAATATCTTGATTGAAATGTTTTCCAATTCTATAATATAGGGCATGAAGCAAAGCTTGTGGATGTTTTGTTAATTATGACAAATATTTTTATGATTATTTATATTGTTTACAAATATCAGACACACTTTGTTGTGCATTACAATTGTCAGCATCGGCAATGTGGTTGAAAAAATGTCAAGAATTTAGTTTGCAAAGTTTATATACGACCTATAGCTTCATGGCAGGGCAATCATTGTGAATAAGGTTAGTTTTTTTTAATGAACATGTTTAAAAATAAAATGTTAATGAAGCCATTGAATCATGGGATACAACAACAGATATGGTGAATTAATCTTGCCAGAATTACCTAAAACTAAATATAGCTACATTTTTAGCTTAAATTTCACTCAATGCAGAAAAGACTTAACAAAACCATTTTGTGGTTTTGGCAAATAATAAAATTCTTTTGTAGCTACTGTTGTGTTATAATATGACAGCTTGTTTCTGTCATTATAGGTTGCATCAGTTCTGGCTCAGACATGTTTCCATATGCAGCAATATTCATATTTTGTCTATTTGCATTATTGTAAAGGTTAAAAGTCATAGGCTGGTGATAACGTTGTTTGATTCTTTTTTTTTTTGCTGTTTCATTATTCATTGTTGCATATTATTGATGCATTATGTCACCAGTTTGGCATGGAAATGATAACATCTGACCTGTTTTACCAGCAAGGCGACTTTCATCAAATTATCATGCAATTTATTGCAAAGAATAGACGACACATATGATTGATATACTTTAGTTATTTATACTTCACTAGATAAGTGTATTATGGAATACAATAAATAATTATTGGTCTCTTTTTATTGTTTTTCATAAATGTATCTACAGTGGTGTACTTTGTCAACAACTCTATAAAGTTCATAAATAGCTGAAATTTAGGGTACCTGAAGACTGATTTACAATCCCAGCATGCAATTGGCACTATAAAAGCTATACTGTACGTTGTTTACCCATGCATAGAGTGACAAATAGTTGCTGCCATTCCTGTCTTTGTTAAAATGAATATAAAATATGTTGGCTGTCAGTGTAAAACCATAAAATAAACAACAAAAACATTCTTGATTAGGCGAGTTGAACTTTAGAAGGTCATTGTTAAAGGTCATTGCCAGGCAGGTTAAATATTTAAGCACTTATCATATGGTCAATAAAAATATGATATTAATTACTTCATTTAATCCTTAGAAATGCCATGTTTCAATAAGGTAATAGCCATAAATGACTATCAAAAATAAACTGTAGTGAGAATACTGTGAATATCATGAAGTTGTTTTATATATTAAAAAGTACGGTAAAATGATGAATTTTCGCTGGGTTTAAATTTCACTGATTTAGCATTTCAGGCATATTCAGTGGGTTTTATATTCACGGTTTTGTCATTTAGATAATGTGTTCTATGCTCAATTTTACATATTCATTGTGTTTTAATTTAGCGCATTTTGCAGTCAGCAAATAAGCAAAATTAAAACCCAGTGAATAATTGACCTCTTTACAGTATTTATATATTTCAAATGATTGTTGAAAACAATAGACTATTTTTCGTTCTCCGCGAGATCCCACGTTATTTGTGAAATGAACGTAAAAAAAGGATGTGAGCGATGAAATTCAAGTTTAAAATCAAATCAGACGTTCAGTGCACGTCTTTCACGTAACTTGTGAGATCTCGGAATGGAATGGAAAATCGCCTATTAGGCCAATCACAATGCATTTATATAGTAAATCTAGCATTGACTGAACCTGCAAAGACTCATGGTCAATAGCATTACCAAATGAATTCTGTAGCCAATGGAAGCATTTTTTTTTTTTTAGATTTTAATGAATCTTCCGGGGTTAATGTTTCATAAATATTTCACCAATTTCTAAAAAATAATGCTTTTATAAAATTCACAGCAGTGGTCAATACAGTCGGCTGTATATTATAGATACAAAATTCTAGAATAATTTGTGTTGCTTACAAAATAAGAGATTGTTTTTTATAATTGTAACAATATTTTTCCTTGAACCAGGATTTGTATTTTCAATACCACCAGTTATTAAACTCATGCATTAGGTATGCTATTGTGAGTTTTATTTTATGGAAATATTAATAATACATTGCTATTCTACTGGTATTCCAATAATAGAAGAAGATTTCTGAGGTCAGTGGCTGTGATGTATTTCTGTCATTAGTGTACATTCTAAATAAATACAGAAAAAGATGCACCTGAAGTTTGATGAAAAAAATAAGTGTTTTAAATAATTATATATCTGCTGAGCAGGGAATTATTTAGTTCTTCGCAATACCGGAATAATAATCGCTGTTGCTAAGGTCATTTTTTCAATAGATCAGTAAATATTTTTTGGTCCCATATTGAGTTATGGTGTGCTGTTAAAGATCATATAAAATTGTACTTCATACCTAGATTAGATGACCTGTACCAATAATATTTAACTTTGTTAATACTTGCAGGTATGAATCAAACATGTTTTGGTAAACCACTGAAGGGTGTGTATTATTGAAGCAAATATGGGTTGGATAATGTTCGTTCAAAGGGGGAAAAGATATCTTGGCATAACAAATGCGAATTTCCCAAAAATCTATGCCATATTAGCATAAACCATATCGCAATTCCAAATCATAGTGAATTGTGGAATAGTTTTGATTAAATTTAACACAACTCCACTAATCACAAAGCATGCTTGCATGTGCAACTTATTCAAATATAATTCGGAATTGTGATATGGTCTAAGCAGAGCTTGAACTTTACAGGAACATCCAAGTCGATTGAAGCCCAATGAGTTTGTTTTAGTGCCCTTCAAAATTCTTTATATTAGGTCCCAATAATAGATGTTTTTATATATCCTGCACAGAAAACAATTGAATTTACCGTTCCATAAAAACTGTATATGCGTTAACTGCAAAACGAATCTGCACTGGATGAATGTTCAAATTTGTCCTTATTTGGAATACTCTGCGTCGCCCACATTGACCCGCTTGATATTGATGTCAGACTTGAACACTTTCAGTTGTTCACATCGTATGCAGAAGCACAAAAATAGAATCCTGACACTGAATGCTAATGTTTGCACACTGCCAAATGCCATGTTTTTCAGTTGCCATTTTGAGAATACCGCAAAAGTATGCACTTGTACAGTACAGGAACACATCATCCTTTGCTACTCATCAGCCGATATGATCTCCATACTGCCTCTATGCATACTTTGCAGTATTCGTCGGATATCTTCATGGTATATGCACCCAGAAAGTTCTGTTGTGTTTTAGTGTGATGTCCTAGGGCGACCATTTTTCAGAACTAGTAGCCTATCTGGACTACTAAAAATTTACACAATATATTTTTACTTCTTTGGAATAAAGCCATCAGTCTCCAAAATTATGGATGTCCTACACAAACTAATTAAGCAAACTGACATATACTGTGAAATACTTTATTTTAGCTGGAATTAATTTTTGCTGAAAAGAGTTTTGGGGTGTTTTGTATGGAAGTTATCTTTCCTGATTTTTGACGAGTTGAATGTAAAATATAGGAAAAAAAGGTATATTCACTGGATTTTATTTTCACTGAATCATTCCTTCAGCGAAAATAGTGAAAATGAATTCCAAGCGAAAATAAAGTATTTTACAGTATTTTATTTCTATTTACACTTTTCCAGATAGACTACCAAATAGTAGCCTTCAGAATTCTTTTTAATTTCAAGCCCCGGTTGTGTACAGACTGGGGTCAGGACACTTTCACTGTAGTGTCACAGTAGGTGTAACAGCTCATTTTCATATGCCACAACGAGACAGTTGTTCCTGTCAGAGTTCTGCAAAGAGAATGTTACCCATATTACACATAAAGAGTTAATTCCAAATAATATTAGAATCTCAATTATACAAGTATTTACTTACATTTATTGACACAACACTGTGAATAGTACAGCAGTAAGATCACTAAAAGCTAAAAAAAAAAAAAAAAAAAAAAAAATGCATAGTACCGGTATTTCTGTATATGATAGTGTTGATATTTAAGAAGGAATGTCAATTAAAGATAATTGATGTACATGCACAAATCAATGGATTTATATTTTTGGCCAATAATTGTATTAAAGTCTCTGCCACATTTAGTAAACTTTCATTATTGATTCTAGTTATTTTATAATTCCATGCCGTTCATTTGTAGCTGATAGCAGGCCAAATTCTATTAATTCTGTCATTTAACAAAATTGATTTGTCCACATATTCTAAACAATCTACTGTCTGTTGAAAATAAATTGAACAATTTGTAAAGACAGTTTTCAATAGTACACCAAGCACGATTATTATAAATGTTAACCATGCGATAATGAGTGTATGTACCGGTATTTTAATTGCTATGGTGATGTATAGTGTTAAGTTAAATTGTCGCAGCAACAGGAAAAAAAAAACGAAAAATGTGTAAATTGTACACATATATTGATAATTGGAATTTTTTGTCATTATTAGTTCCTACCTTGATTTGTTTGAAATCACTGCATTTGTCAACCAACTTCATTTTCTCAGTGCATGAGTGGACTTCTTTCTTTTCTTGGTATATCGATGATCATGACAGTATATGATGTCATGTACAGTACAATCCAAACATAACTTAACATCCAGCCTGATTTAAGCTGGGTTAAAGCTAATTTAACTTGCTTTCAAAACTGCTACATATTTATAATTGTGCCGAGTTTTCTGTCTAAATATTCTAGTATGATTAACATACTAGGTAAGTACTACAAAGAATAATTTGTAATTATTGATGTC